ACCAGGATCAGCGCCGAGCTCCAGCTGGAGCCTGGCGCTGATCCTGGCGCTTCCGCTGAGCCCTGACAACCCTGCAGCTCCAGCCATCTCTCGCTCAAGCTTGTGCGGTGCTGCCACCAGTTCAGCTCATTCCCCTCCCCAGCTACTTTTCTAGGATGCTCCCGTACCACCTGCTAGGTGCCAATGTACCACAGGTGGTACCCATACCACTGGTTGAAAAGCCCTGGTCTAGAGGGTACAATTCATCTAGACTCATTAAATGTAACAAGATGTTCCTTGATCATGTTTCTATCAATCTTAAGCTCCAATTCTGCCCTTCAATTTTGCTGTTCATAATTAAAATAAACTAATTAGCCTGAGCTATTTTATGTGTGCAGGCATATACGTGCCTTTCTGTGTGTGCATGCATGTCCGTATTTGTGTAAAACAGTATGTTTAGTGACCATTTGAAGTTACAGTGGCACTGAAAAAAGTGACTTATGACATTTTTCACATTTATGACCACGGCAGTATTCCCATGGAGACATGATAAAAATTCAGACACTTCACAACTGACTCGTATTTATGACGGTTACAGTGTCCCAGGGTCAAACGATCACCTTTTGCGACCTTCTAACAAGCAAGGTCAATGGGGAAGCCAGCACTGGGTTACTACTAACAACTGCAGTAATTCACTTAAGAACGATCATAAAATGGGACAAAATTCACTTAGCAACTATCGCGCTTAGCCACAGAAACTTTGGGCTCAGTTGTGGCTGTAAATCGAGGACTATCTGTAAATGAAAGGAAGGATAACAGAGAAGCCAAAAGATCAATATCTAAGTGCTTAATACTTCAAAAGTTTACAGTTAGGCCACAGTGACAAAGCTGAGAGATATTTCTAAACATTTCCCAGCAGACTGGCTATCAAGGCCTCTGGTTGAAGAATGTGTGAAATTGCACGTGTCTTGAGCGGTATTGACAACCTCGGATTTGTCATTTTTAGACTTGATCCATTTAGATTAATGAAAAATAAAAATAGCTACGGCTTATTTTACTCCCAAGCTGGTTTCACTGATGCAATGGCTAAGCCTGGATCTAATTTACTTTCAGGGAGCACTCAGGATTTTGGGCTGTCTCAACCAATAGATCATAATTCCAGAGACACAATACATCTCTAACGGAGTTATGCAGAGAAATCTCTTACTGCCCTCACACACACACACACACACAAACCAAAACACACACATACAGTACATATATACACACTCTTTCTGGTTCCTGCACTTCTTATTCTGTGGGGTTAAGTCCAAGAAATACTACTGGGCTTCTTAATCCAAAGCCTGTTCCAAAACGCATCACCGTGAAAATGTTGTTTATCACAACTAAAATATATTTTTCATGAGAGAAGAATGAAAAAAAAAATCATGCCAGTAAGTAATACATGCCAGGTTATGAGAGTGGCACATAATATGAGCGGCAGGCGCTTGCCAACAGATCTGCACCAGAGGAAATAACTCAGCGATATTGTCACCTATGGGCCAATTTATATTGTCAGAAAGCGGATTCTGCGTTAGTCTCTGGAGCCAATGCAGTAATGGCATATTTTAGGAATAAAGCACCAACAGCCTACGGGGACAGCCTCATCTCTTTTTCATAGGCGTGCTTCAAGACCCATTCAGAGCAAAGCATTAATAATAATAATATAAAAAAAGAGGACAAAAAAAAGAGGAATGGAAGAGGACGCAAAGATGACGTAAGGGTAGAGCTTAAGCCAGTGATGGTGAACCTTAGAGACCGAGTGCCCAAAAACTGGCCCCGCCCCCACCCCCTGCCCCGCCCTCACAATGCTTCCCTGCAGGGCCAATCCCCACCTCCAGGGCCTGCCGCAGATCGCCCAGGCAACCCAGCAGCGCCATGGTGGCCACGCCATCTGCCCACGCCCCACAGCATCAACTGCGTGCGATGGGGTGTGAGGGGATAGTCTTGTCTACATGGCCTGGCTGCCATGTCCTTGGCTATGCTGCTCCATGTGGGGCACGCTGAGGAGCAACTCTCCTCCAGGGGGGCTGGTGGTGAGGGGGTCGTGGGGGGAGGCAAGGCTGGGGCAATGGCACGTGTGCCCACAGAGAGGGCTCCGAGTGCCACCCCTGGTACCCGTGCCATAGGTTCGCCACCACTGGGTTAAAGCATGTCAAGCAGTTCAGACATGTAAAAAAAGGAGTGTGTGGGGGGTCAAACATATGATTGTGGTTGCCAACTTGACTTTCTTGACCTCCTTCAATCCCAGGCTTTGGGCTTGCCAGAAGTATTCTTAGGACCCTCATCTATATAGAGCCTCTATGTAATGAGATATGCCAGATCTATAAATCAGAAGGGTATGAATCATCTTGGTTGGTGTGAGATGTTTGCCATGGGAAAATTGCAACACACTCTAATTAAAAAGATTGTGAGACGAAATTAAACAGGAGGATGAAGTTTCCAGTGGATGTTAATCATGATGGCCAAGCATTCAATTTTACTTTGCAAACTTTGGCTCATCTCCCAAAAAAAAAAAAAAAAAAAATCTAAGCGGGCTTGGAGCATGGGAGAGGAAGGCTTTCTATGATTTTGTGTGTGCGCTTGTGTGTATGGCACACGTATATTTGTCCTTGGTGCTGAGTTTGCTTGTTTTCTTGCAGACATTTCATTACCCAAACTAGGTAACATCATCAGTGCTAACACTAGTTTGAGTAATGAGACTGCAAGAAGCCGAGATGGCGCAGCAGTTAGAGTGCAGTACTGCAGGCCACTTTAGCTGACTGTGTTCAGCAGGTCAGCGGTTCAAATCTCACCGGCTCAAGGTTGACTCAGCCTTCCATCCTTCCGGGGTAGGTAAAATGAGGACCCAGATTGTTGGGGGCAATGTAAATATATATATATACATTGCTTACTGGTGTACACCGCTTAGAGAGTGCTTGCACTTAAAGTGGTATATAAGTCTCATAAATAAATACATAAATAAATAAAACAAGCTCAGATATCTATGGAGATTCTCCTAGAGCAGGAATATCAAACTGCCAGCCCACGGGCCGGACGCGTCACGAGGACACTGCGCCCACCCCATTCCCAGCAATGGGGAAAAAACTCTGATACATCGCGCAATGTCACGTGACGTCGTGAGTTTGACATGTCTGTCTTAGAGAGAGTACTAATAACCAGATGACTGCAAAAAAATTCCTTCTATTCCCTCCCTCTACCATCCTGTTAGAACTATAATAATAATAATAAAGTTGGAAGGGACCTTGGAAGTCATCTAGTCCAACCCCCTGCTCAGGCAAGAAACCCTATACCATTTCAGACAAATGGCTGTCCAGTCTCTTCTTAAAAACTTCCAGTGTTGGAGCATTCACCACTTCTGGAGGCAGGTTGTTCCGCTGGCTAATTGTTCTAACTGTCAGGAAGTTTCTCCTTAGTTCTAGGTTGCTTCTCTCCTTGATTAGTTTCCATCCCTTGCTTCTTGTCCTGCTTTCAGTGGCTTTGGAGAATAGCTTGACTCCCTCTTCTTTGGGGCAGCCCCTGAGATATTGGAACTCTGCTATCATGTCCCCCCTCGTCCTTCTTTTCACTAAACTAGACATACCCAATTCCAGCAACCGTTCCTTATATGTTTTAGCCTCCAGTCCCTTGACCATCTTTGTTGCTCTTCTCTCTAATCTTTCTAGAGTCTCAACATCTTTTTTACATCGTGGTGACCAAAACTGGATGCAGTATTCCAAGTGTGGCCTTACCAAGGCGTTGTAGAGTGGTATTAATACTTCACATGATCTTGATTCTATCCCTCTGTTAATGCAGCCTAGCACTGTGTTGGCTTTTTTGGCAGCTGCAGCACACAGCTGGCTCATATCTAAGTGATTGTCCACTAGGACTCCGAGATCCCTCTCATAGTTACTAGTGTTGAGCAAGGTACCACCCACCAGAACTGATGAAGCTTCTTGGATTAGAAGTGAAATGTCTTTTTCTTCTCCAAGGAAAAATAAAACCTAGTCCAGTTGCCTTTTGAAAAAGCACCTTTGAAACAGCCAAGCTCAGACAGCACCAGCACCCCTCATTTCAACGCTGAGCTACAAATATTCTCCTTTATTGATATATTTGTAGGGGACAAAAAGGCATTAAGGCGCTGTAGGAAGTCACCAAGAACCTAGTGTTTCTTGAAAGATTTTATATGAATCAACGCCACGGCCAAGAGGTTCTGCTTTTGCATATACTCACCCATTAAACTATACGGTTAGATCAGACATGTCAAACACAAGGCCCGGGGCCCGGATGCGGTCTGCAAAATGGTTTCATGTGGCCCGCGAAGCCATTCTGGAAACAGTGAGAGAACGGCCCCCGCTGCCTTGGCCCTGGCCCAGGCCGGCCAGGAGCCAGTGTACAATTTTGTGGTGGCCATCTATGCTGAAATGCATTCAGTTTTGGCTCCACAAGGCCGTCTGGAAACAGCGAGGAACCAGGAGAACCTTGAGCAGCAGTCTTGAGGAAGTGGGGCTGGGCTTGGTGCCGCGGGTGCTCGAGGGCCAGGCTGGGCATTTGACCTCTGCTGCTCAGGGTTCTGGGCAGCCTGCACCACCATCCAGCTGCCCCCCTGCATAGCCTGAGAGGAACAGTGAGACTCCTCCAGTGGACCATGCCTTGGCGCTTGCCCCGGTCCCACCCCCTTCCGCCAGAGACCCTCAGATCTGTCCCACTCCTGCCCAGCCCCCCACAGGCACCCTTGACACGAACGATGTAGAGCTGGCCACGCCCACCCAGTAGACCACACCCACTCTGTCCACACCCACCCAGTAGGCCGCACCCACCCTGGCCACACCCACCCGGCCCCCTGAGGGCAACCGCAATGCTGATGCGGCCCTCAATGAAATTGAGTTTGACACCCCTGGGTTAAATGAAAGATTTCCTTGTATTGAAAAAGCCTAAAATTCAGCCACAGGAGGGAGGAGAAAGAGGAAAAGGAATAAATAAATAAATAGGCTTTAACTCACCAGCCATTTGTTGAATGCCACTGAAGGCACCCAAATTGCTGGAGGATGTTGCTTGCTGCAGAAGCTGCAAATTAACAATAACAACATCAATGGGGTTAATAACGCAACAACTTAAGATGAAAGCAAAATTATCTGAATCAAATTAAATTTGGGATACTTATAGTTTCCTTTACATTTAAACAGTCTCTTGCTTCTGCCTGGTGTTGGAATGAAGATCCCCAGAGTGGATGCTGTAAATCCATATTAATGTCTAATCTCTATTAAGAAACACACAGACACTGGGGAAACTCAATAACATTGCTGCTTTAAAACAATTAATCAATTTACTCTTTTTTTTTAACAGCCAGGTGCTAAATCTGTTTCAGCCCATCATAGCGTGACTAATCATTGCCCTCTGCACTCTAGCAGTTAGCATAACTCATCCTGGTTAATCCCAAGAGCATTTTCCACCTCCCCACTTAAAAAGAGAAGCTGGTTTCCTTAAAGTGGTTTGTGGGACTGGTTCACAAAAATGCATAACCTCACAATAGGCTGTTCTTTTCCACAGAATTGGAAATCAAAAGCGATCTGCATGCCAGCGCACTATTTTAGTAATCCAATTATATAGAATATTCACGTAGGTGCAACTGATTGATTTTTGGAGGCAGTTGATGTATTCAGTTGCCAATCATCATTACTGAGATACTGTATAAGGGGAGAATCTTGGAACCAGCCCCTGGTCATACACATAATCTACTTCACACATTGGCTTAAGTCTTGGTTTGTTTAATCATGGTTTCCTGGATAATCCACAATTGGTTGGGATCACAACACAGGCTAGGAAACAAACCATCACTTACAAACCACAATGGCTGGTTTCGCATAACATGTTAAATCAAAATGAGTCAAACCATATTTGAGCTTAGTGTAATGTGTGAAAGACAGAACTATTTCTCGTTGGATCACTGATGATTCCAAGTGACGTGGAATTTGTAATAACAGACATAGCCTCCCAATGTAAGTAAGGTTTCATTGTGAATGAAAAGTTAAAATGCATATGAGAAGGTGTCAATTATCAGTGAATGGGCATTAGGGAGGAAATAAGGTTACGGTGAGCATTTTGGGAAAAGTTATGCAATATTCTGCATGAACGAGATGCAGGAGAGAAAAATAAAGTCTGTTAGGTGACATGAATGGGATGGGGAAAAAGACAGATTAATCCCCCAACAGAATTAAGGAAAATGAAAGAGGAGGAGAATGTGGAATCTGCTTGGAATAGAATTAAATGAATTATATTACCAAGTGCTGCAGAAGTGTGTGGAGTTCCCCTAATGAGAAGCATGAAAAAGGATGGAGGGAGAGAGGTTGTAGATGAAAAAAAAGCGAATAAAAGGAAAATTGAGAGAAAGACATTGCATAAAGGGTATAGAGAAGAAAACAGTAGTGTGTCAATGAATGGAACTGAAATTAATACTATAAACCTTCGTGCCAAAGAGCGAAAAATGATGAAAAGAAAATTGTAAATCCTGGGAAAATGTTGAAAAATGTGTGGCTAATAGATGGTATAACTGGGCTTGATTTGTTATGATGCCCCTATCTATTTGTGTCACTTGTACGTGAAGACAGCGTCTCTGTCTGATAAACTGGATAATGCCAGTATTGTTTTCTTATTCAAAGGAAAACATAGCAACAGTGAATGCAAATATATATAGGGTTATCCGTTTGCTAAGCATGGAAATGTGTTTAGCAATATTCTGAAAAGTTATGAGAGCTGAACAAAACTTGGAAAATGAGTTTATGCTGGGCAACAGATGTTCTCTCCAGATTTTTGGATTTCAGCAGATCATTGAGAAACATGAACGTAAGAAAGCTTATTGTACCCTTGTTGGTTTAAAGAATGCATGTAAACTTGAATTATTGAATGTTGAACATTTGTTGAATCTTCATTATGTGACTACCAGAATTAATCATTCAACATCAAGCATGTAATAAGACCTGAATGTTTGAGAGGGACTTAGTTATTAATATAACAAATGTATATGGAAAGCTTATGATGACATTAGAAGTACAGTATGTTGTGTGTGGACACGAGAATGAGTATGTATCCTTATATGCAAAGGATGCATTAATGGTTAAAAAACCCAAATGATTGTAGTGAATATCAAACTGTATGATGCCCAGAGGAAATGGATCTGAATATGACAAAAAAAGTAACACGAATCTCTGTGTTTTGGCAGAATGATTGTTGAAATTGGGAACAAGTAAGGAAAAAAGGAAGCAAGGAAAGTTAAAACTTTCAAATGGCAGTAAAATTATAATAGGCAGTATGTGATTAGTGTGAAGAACGAAAGCTTGTTGAAAAAAAGCAGTTGTTGATAAAAATGAGCTACTGTCTATATCAGATATGTCTAACCTCGGCAACTTTAAAACTTGTGGACTTCAACTCCCAGAATTCCTCAGCCAGCATGGGAAAGTTCAAGTCTACCACTTCAACTTCCAAAATTCCTCACCCAGCGTTCTGCGAGTTGAAGGCCACAAGTCTTAAAGTTGCCATGGTTGGACATCCCTGATTTACATTATTACATGGACGTGAGAATTAGGCATGTCAGATGAACCACGAAGTTAATGTGGTATAATGAACAATCACTAGAATAATGATGTGTCTGCATAATTACTGGAATAATGCTGCGTTAGTAGTATGTGACTAACCTAATGCGCATTGCACTTGGATACAATGTATGTAGCAAACTCTCCATTGTATACCTGTGAGAAACAAACCTAATGTATTACAATGTGTATTACAATGTGTATTACAATGTGTATTACAACCTTGCCCTCGGGGGTTCAGAATTGCTGGTTGCTATTGCTTCTGAACCTGTGCAATAAATCTCTTTGCTAAAACCCTCTGGAATTCGTAAGAGTCCTTTCGTTTTCCACAAGAAAGTAAGATGAATTTTGTAGGAATGAGTTAGTTTAGAACAGTGGTTCTCAACCTGTGGGTCGGGACCCCATTTGGGGTCGAACGACCATTTCACGGGGGTCGCCAAACAACGCAGTCCGCCATTTTTTTCCCCTTTTCCTTAGCTGTGCTACTCCCTTTTATTCTATTGGCTTTTGAAAGCCAATAGAATAGACTCTCTTGAATAGAGTCTAATTCTATTGGCTTTCAAAAGCCAATAGGAATTGTCCAGGCTGTCTCTGCCCTGCTGAGCCCGCCAAAAGTCCCATTCTGCAAACGGTTGAGTAGTCCTCGACTTACGACCGGTTGAGTAGTCCTCGACTTACGACCGGTTGGGGGGTCGCGGCATTAAAAAGGTTGAGAACCACTGGTTTAGAAGCACATGCAGTAAAAACAGGAAGAGAGGGGATCAAAGATATCCGGGAAGAGAGAACAATGATGAGATTATTCAGTCACACAGAGAGGATGGCCGAGAATAAAATTGCAAAAGAAATACACGGAGGAAGAGTTTGTGGATCCAAAGAAAGGGCAAGACAGAAACTCATGGTTGGGTGGAATGGAGGTGCAGAATTTCAAGGACCAAAGTCAGGAGGTGCACATTGTGGATATTCATGTAAAATAGATTTAGAATTCCTTTTCTTTTCTCCCAACTTCTGCTTCCAGTTTCGTTTTGCCTGAAAGAGACTTGCATGTGGTCCTGTCTCTGTCCCACAGTGGCGATCAAAGCTTATCCTAAACTTTGTAAAAATCTCTTATTCTGATTAATGTCTCAGTGAATAGGGAAGGTTCCTTCCAATTTTGTTGTCCCGATCCTTCAAACCCAGCTGTCATTCTAAGTTGCAAGCCTCATGGAAAACCTGGTCACAACAGAGCTAACTATCATGGTTTGATCAAAGCAGGCAGTTACTTATACAGCTTAATACATGAGTGGAAAGGGGAGGAAGGAAGGTGCTATGAAAATACTTTGGTTAACTGGAAATCTGAACCATCTTGCCAATAAAAGAAAATCTTTTTAAACTGACATCCAATTATGAAATTTAAAATAGATGTATTGAATGAAAGCCCGCAGTGCCACTCCTGTGTGTACTGATGCTGCATTCAGAAAATATAATTGTGGAGCTTGGCCCCTTTTTATCGAAACGCACAGCAGGGAAAGGCGACAGAGGTGGGGGAAGTGACAAACCACATAATTCAGATCATTGAGAGATTGGGATAATTATTTTTTTCCCTCCTGTGCAGAAGATTGCCACTGAACATTTTCATATTCATTAATTCCGTATATTTCTGAACAACCAATGTCAATCACGATGTAAAGGGTGTAGAATGACTTGAGATCTGGAGAACGTGAGATCCGGAGGAGTGTAGAAGATATCAGGTCTTCAAAACACAGATATTGAAATGCTCAGGTACACAGGGTGGTGGATAATTTGAAGAAAGAATTTGGGAATGCTTATTATTTGTCCCCGAGAGATTCCCCCACATAGTGGCTTTTTCTTTTACCAAACCTGTGCGTGACGTTGAAGTCAATAGGATGGAAAACATATCAAAACCATCAGGGAAAAAATAGACTTCTTTTCTGTATCACTATCTAGCCAGGTAAGGAAAACTTAACAGACAGGGACAACAGACGTTCTTCAGGCCTCAAGGCCTCCTTCCCAACCTCCCCCACTGAATTTAGATTGCAGTTTCCATAATTCCCAGCTGGGAATTCTTGCAATTGTACTTCCAACACATTTTGAGAGTACATAGTTGGTGTAGGTTGGACTAGCCGGTAGAGGTCCCCAGATCATATGTTGAATGTTTCTTCTTTCACAAGGAAGTGATGTGTTTGTATCCATATCTTTGCAGATCAGGTGAACCAAGTAAAGCTGTATGATGGTTTATATTGGGGGGGGGTCTTTAAACTTGGCCCTTTTATGACTTGTGGACTTCAACTCCTGGCTGAGGAATTCTGGGAGTTGAAGTCCACAAGTCACAAAAGGGCCAAGTCTGCAGACCCCTGGTCTGGATCCAAGCCTGCAATTTCATCAAAATGGCCGACTGAGGAATTCTGGGAGTTGAAGTCCACAAGTCTTAAAAGGGCCACGTTTGAAGACCCCTGGCTTATATGTTCGGCTGTCACATGTTATGTGAAGGCAGGAATTGTGATTTGTTCATCTGGCTTTCAGAATGCAGCCAGTCAGTCTTCAGTTGACCTGGGTTAATGTGCTGTATTTAGGAATCCAACCATTCCATTTTACAAGGAAGTATACATGTGGTTTGCACATGTAAATGGGAAAAGGTTGTTTTAAAAGTAAATCTTGCTTTGGATAATGTCATTCTGTCCAAACAGCTCTAATTATATTGCTTCTTACATTGCATTTGAAAAGCAAACATCTTTGTGCACTATCATGGTGAACCAATTGTGGAACAGAATTATCTGCCAAAGAATTGGCTCATTTTCCATCCGTGGACAGGTATTGGGCCGCGGCATGCCAGCAACCGGTCCTCACAAACAAGCAAAGCCCCATGTGTGGGATGCAGGCAGCACACAAAACCACGCACTTTCTGGTCCGTGGAAAAACCTCTCTCCACGGAACCGGTTCCTGGTGCCCATCCTTGGGGATGCATCAGAGAACATATTTTCCTAATTTTTTATTTCCAGGAAACTGCATATTCCCAAGACTGAGGGTTTGCTAGCTGTAACATTAGCCCGCTTAGCATTTTAAAAATGCATTCCAAGTGCTCAAAATCAAATACATACTTCATTTCAACAATTCTTATAAAAAGTGCCTCATATTACTATCAGAGCCCACAATGAAATCTCTGAGCACTCCTTTTACTGAACAAAGTCTACAGCCTCAACCTGCAACAGTACTAAAAGTTTCATTTGCAAAGTAGTTGTGTAACCATCGTATCAGATGGAAAGGCTCAGTATGCAGATTGCAAAAAGAGAGCACAGCTCACACACGGGGACATGCTAAAACAACGGTTGCCTTAAAAGGCTTAACCTGATTCTTAAGTTACCCATTTTGCTGATTTGTGCAATAGTCAATCCTAAACTAACCAAATAATTTTACAATTTATTAAGTTCTGCACACACCCACACCCACACCCACACACAGAGTAAGTAAACAAATCAAGCTTAGCTTGTTGTGTGAATGCAGCCAGTCAGTCTTCAGTTGATCTGGTTGCTAAAATATATTCCAAATAACCTTCTCCTAAAAAAATACCAGCCACTGAACACCTTCATATGACAAAAAGATTGCAAATTGATTTTTCATTCGGATTTTCTTACATTTTTCCTACCAAATCTAAAACACTAAAATAGAAATTATATACTTCCTTTATCTAATTCAAAAAAGGCTCTGGACATAACAGCCTTGATTAGGCTATAATGAGGTTAAGATGGTTAGTGGCTTAGCATATATCGGGTGAACTAGGCTATCATATGAAGTAGAATATAACTTGTTTTTCTCAGCATATGTGAACCCAGGGATTGTATTGTATTAATTAAAGCACTGAGAATAAAGTGTTGTGTAAATAGTTTTGGGCGCTAAACTATCCTAATTTATTTCATTAAAAAAAATGTTGCCCGTGTCCATCCGACACTCTTAACCTAGTCATTAATAACCCTTGGGGTGGCGTTCACATGATGAATTGCACTTGCTTAGTGCTAATGGTTACATGTTGTGTAAATGCAAACCATTATTTATTTATTCCTTGTGTGTCTAAGCTGCATTTTTACTGACAACTCAAGTGTGAAAGTGTAAAAGTATATTATGCACATCCAGAAAATAGGGTTGTGAGGAAGGGGAGACAAAACGATGACTTGTGCGTGACCAAATCATCTCTGAAAAGCAACAGGCGATGTACTGTTCTTGTGTCACAATACCAATGTGTGATGGTGGCATTTGTGGGGTGTTCCTTTGGCATCATGGCAGTTTCAGATGTGGATGAAGCAGAGGAAGCATGTTGTGTGAACACAGCCATTGTGAGGCAGCCATTTATGGATGGACAAATTTCAACAAGAAAAGTAGGATGGTATGAGAATGTGTGAAGCACATAGAGCTTCCACCAAATGCTTCCGGGTCAGGATTCCAAAAATTAGAGAGAACTTTTATGAACCCTTTAGTACAGGGGTAGGCAACTTTGGCCCTTTTATGACTCGTGGACTTCAACTCCCAGAATTCCTGAGCCAGCCATGCTGAGGGGAAAGGGAGGTTTCCATGCTGAGCCATGCTGGCTCAGGAATTCTGGGAGTTGAAGTCCACGAGTCATAAAAGAGCCAAGGTTGCCTACCCCTGGGCTAGGAGGCTCACCACTTAGAACAGGAGGACTTAGGACAGAGGTAGGCAACCTTGGCTCTTTTATGACTGTGGACTTCAACTCCCAGAATTCCTGAGCCAGCCATGCTGAGGGGAAAGGGAGAGGTTTCCATGCTTAGCCATGCTGGCTCAGGAATTCTGGGAGTTGAAGTCCACGAGTCATAAAAGGGCCAAGGTTGCCTACCCCTGGTCTAGTACAAACTGAACGTGTCTACTTAGAAACAAGTCCCATTAAAGTCAATAGGCCTTATTTCTGGGTAACGCAAGATACAGACTGCAGTCCCAAATAAAGGTAGTTCTCAACTTACAACAGTACGTTTAGTGACCGTCCAAAGTTATAACGGCACTGAAAAAAGTGACTTCTGACCGTTTTTCACACTTACGACCGTAGCAGCCTTCCAATGGGTCACCTGATCAAAATTCAAATGCCTGGCAACTGACTCATACTTATGACAGTTACCATGTCCTGGGGTCATGTGATCCCCTTTTGGGATCTTCTGACAAGCAAAGTCAGTGGGGGAAGCCAGGTTCACTTAAGAACCCCGTTACTTACTTAACAACTACAGGGGTTCACTTAACGACTGTGGCAAGAAAGGTCGTAAAATGGGGCAAAACTCACTTAACAACTGTCTCACTTAGCAACAGAAATGTTGAGCTCAATTGTGGTCATATGCCGAGGACTACCTGTATTTGAATTTCAGCCGTGTTCTTCCCAAAGGTGCTTTTTCAAAAAGCAGCTGGACTTTCTCTGCCCAATTGCCTTTTCAAAAAGCTCCTTTCAGACAACCACGACCTGGATGACTGAGAATCTCCATAGCAGACAACTGTGTTCTTCATACTATAAGCTTGACCTGGTTACTCAATTAACCCATTTTCTAATTTTGCATTTTGCGTTGCATCAAAGAATGAATAAACCCACTGCTTTCCCACAACACACTAAGCCAAGAATAAGGAAGCAGGTAAACCAGGCCTTAACCAAGCTGAGCATGTTGTGTGAATGTGGCTTCTAAAGTCTGAAACTATTAAAAGAGATAAATATACAGAATCCACTGCTTAGAAAAAGGCAAAAATGTAGACTTCACATCAATGTCTAAAACATTTCCAGGGGTGTGAAGCTCAGAACTGCAATTAGATATGCAAACTTCCCTATTTGCATGCTGGCAAGGACATCCTCAGAATACAATCGTTCACCCAGAAACTTCATCTATTAAAATGAGACAGCGTCCATTGGAGGACATCTCACCGCAATCTTTATCTTAATCTCAGGTATTCTTACACATCCCTTGCAGGACAATTTGATGCAACGAGCTCATTTCCACAACCCTTTCATGACAGAGATACCCCCCCCGCTTTATTTAAACCATGCCCACGTAACCCAGCATGGCAAGCTTGCTTTGAAAATATTGTAAAGAAAATGGGATGATTACTTACAGCCAGGTACTGTGGGGTAAATCCTCCAAGGCCGGTAAGGTTTCCCCAAGTGGCAGTATTGAGCTGTTGCATTTGTTGTGCCAACTGCTGTTGTAAACGTCTTTGTTCTTTGTCCTTTTGCGTATCAGCAAACTTCACGACAATTGGTGAAGAGCAGCCCTGTGGTTGGACAGATTGGTGGGGGGAAGAAAAGTCTAACACACATTTCTAGCTAGGTGGCAGCCACCTAGCCGACCTTGGCTGATCTCAGACCTGGTTAGTATTTAAGAGAGAAGGCCATTGGGGGTTGACTAGCAGCGTTGACTTGCCCGAGAAGTCAGAAAGATAAAAATATCTCGGGAGACCACTTCTGTGCTGTTGACAGGAAAACTTCACGAATGCGTTCAGGTAGTTGTCAGGAGCTGAAGTTGATTGGTGGGAGCATTTGCCATGTGATTGACGAGGCCGTGGTTTAAATTTTGGGCCCCTCATTTAATTTAGAAGGGGGCGTGATGGCTCAGCAGTTAAAGATGCCGAGCTTGTCAGCTGGAAAGCTGACAGCCTGGGATTGAATGCTGTGCAACGGGTGAGCTCCCGTCCCTGGCTCCAGCTCCTGCCCACCTAGCAGTTTGAAAGCATGGAAATGCAAGTAGATTAATAGGTACCACTTTGGTGGGAAGGTAACAGTGTTCTGTGTGCCTTTGGTACATAGCCATGCTAGCCACATGACCATGGACTGTCTTTGGACACCGCTGGCTCCCTCAGCCAAGAAACGGAGATGAGCACTGTGCCTTAGAGTCGCACACAACTGGACAGGGGAAACCTTTATCCTTACCATTTAATTTAGTTTGGTCTCTGTATCTTTTATTTGAATTGGAAAGAAAACTTCCATTCACAATCATTTTTAAGTACCGGGACCTGTATGATGCTTTTAGCCATCTTTGGCTGGTATACGAAATCAGATTGGTTACTGCTGGATGGGATTCTGCATCACGCTTGACTCAGATGAGATGTTAGAATAATTCTGAGACATCTGCATGAGTCTTTTTCAGAGTCTTTTTTTGAGATATTCTATAATTTTGCGACTGATTATAGGACTCCATATGTGGAAAGTCAAAGTGTTTAGAATCTCAAGGAGCTTTGTAGAGGGGATCCCAAAAGTCAAAATGGTAGCTGTGATTGTGGCTGCCACTTTGACATTTTTGGCCCCCCGTGCCCGATTTGCTGCAAACATCCCTGGTTAGCATGATGACAAACGTTCATTGCTCAGGGAATTTACCCCCTCTCCCCAATATATCCCATACCATCCCTTCCTGCCCATTCCCCAAATCTGCTCCAGAGATTGAGGAAATCTCCAAATCAGATCAAAACATTGGATAGGATGGTATGTAAACAGGGTCTCACTGCATGCCAATTTCTGCAAAGAAATCTGTCTGGGTGACGTTTTAGCTTAGAAATGGATCCGTTAATTTGGGATTGCTCTCTCTTAATGTTAAAAAAAAAGTCTTTGTCTTAGGTTGTTTTGGCTTTGAGTAATGAGGAAGGAAGGATGGAAGAGAAAAAGGAAAGAAGGAAGATCCCTCCTTTTCCCCATATTTTTCCACATTTTCCAAGTTTGAATATTAAATAATAAATCTTTATGCTAATCACATTTTGTATTCTAATTAGACTTGAGAAGCAGGAATGTCCTGATTTGTTAAAATTTTGAAAAACTTGGTTTATCAAGTTGTCTTCTTTCTAACCTGACTATGATCTAAGCAGAGTTCTTCCAGGCCAGATTTAATAAAAAGCTCTAGAGAGTTAAGTATTAGAAGCAGACAAAAAACTGTAAGGGCAGAAGGATGGGGAAGGAGAAGGATCAACCACACCTAACACCTTGTGCTAAATTTTGTAACCCACAAACTATTGCTCAGTGAATGTTGAAAACTGTCATGATATGAGTTTTTCTTTCTTCTTTGGTTTCTGCATGCAAAATTTTGTCTTTAGCTGATCACTCTATTATTTTAAAATAAATCAAAATTGTACAGCTGTATAAAATGTTACTTGAATATGCATATGGATGTGTGTATGTATGTATGTGTGTGTGTGTGTGCGCGCACACACACACACACACACACACACACAAACAGATATGCATTATATACTGTATAAGTACATGTATATATATAAGGTGACCAACTTTTTTACAATGAGAAGGAGGACACAAATAAATTGAAGAAAAAAAAAGTGAGTCTAATGTGTGTGTGTGTGCCGTGTCATGTTTCGGTAAGCAGTAAACAAAGCCACTTGCGTGCCTTGACAACCTTCACAGGTTTATAAAGCAAAGGAAAGCATGAAGTAAGATCGTAAGTCCAGGGGATTCACTTAATGCAGTGGTTCTCAACCATTCTAATGCCGTGACCCCATAATACAGTTCCCCATGTTGTGGTGACCCCCAAGTGGGTGTGGCCACCAATAAGAGAGAGTAGGACAGCTAGGGAAAAGGGAAAAAATGGCGGACAGCGTGGTTTGGCGACCCCCGTGAAATGGTCGTTTGACCCCAAATGGGGTCCCGACCCACAGGTTGAGAACCACTGACTTAATGGCTACTTCACTTAATGACCAAGTCCCGGGTACAACTCTGGCTGCTAAAAGAGGGCTACTGTACTTAGCATCCACATGATCTGGAGCTCTGTGCAGAAAACTCCTCTGATTGAAATGAGATGTTCATGGCTTTTGAAAAGCAGAAAAATCCATTGTTTTGCTTGCTTAAATTATTTGGGGGGGGGAGTATTTGTAGAGAGAAACAAAGGGAAATAAGGATTGTAGAGGGAAATAAAAATTAGATAAAGGCAGTGATGTAGAGGGGTTGGCAGCTACATAGGCTCACTCTGGCATAAAGTTTGCTTCCCCTGGGCATTTTAAAATATTAATGCAAAATATACTCTATGAAACCTGTAGTACAGGGGTTCTCAACCTTGGCAACTTTAAGATTTGTGGACTTCAACTCCCAGAATTCTTTGCTGGCTGAGGAATTCTGGGAATTGAAGTCCACAAGTCTTAAAGTTGCCAAGGTTGAGAACCCCTGCTGTAGTAGATCCCAACTCCCCTCCCCAGTTAAAAGACAGAAAAAGGAAACATTGATTAAAATGGAGTTCATGGAAGATCTCTTAGGAGAAACAAGGCAGTTTCCAACAGATGTACTGTTAAGTGTAGCTCTTCCAATCTTTTCCAAAAGAAGCAGAAATAAATTTCAAGGACAAGAATATGAGATGTTTTTTTTTCCCCAGACAATACTTGCAAGCTCTCCGTTTTGTCTGGCATCTGATATTCTATTTATGAATGCTTAACTGGCTGTAAATTGTATAAAACACCACAGAGGTATTTGATGAATCTATAATTTTCCTAACCCCCCCCCCTGCGTCATATTTCATCTGGGTAGCAATTTGAATAGAACCAACCTCACACAGATTGACAACATACAAATCAAAGTGGCTCTGAATCAAAAGCAGGGAGGTTATGGCTGTAACATATTAGTTTCATCCTTAAAAAAGAAAGAAAATTAGATTTCTCTAAGTGCATGAGTATAAACTCACACGTATCCCTATATGAGGTTAAAATGAGGTTTATAAAGCACATGATTACAAAAATAGGGGTGTAAACGGGTGATGTTGTTCTCTTACTGAAAACATGTTTTGTCTTAGCAGCAAGTGAAAGCTAGATGAAAGTCCTGACACTGAGTTCTAGGTAACTATCATCTGAACCAATTGTTTGATGTATAGTCTAGCTTTTGAAAATAATGTTCTTTGCATTAAAAAAATCCAGCCAAACAGCCTTAGGAGCAATACTGTATAGTTTCTGGTTGACTATCCAGATTGAATATTCCTTGTTGAAAGTCAACTGTTTGCTGCAGGAGTGTTGAGATTAATGGTCAAGTAGAATAAAGAAAAGCAGCTGAACCTTTAGATGTGAAGCTGCTTTTTCCAGTTTGGAAGCTTACAGGTGTATTGAGATGGCAACTTTCAAATTTTCTAGTCAGCATGGATGGGAAGCATGGGACCTGCAGTCCCACCACATCTGAAGAACAGCAGAGAGGTGGAAGTCAAGCTATATAAAGATCATTATTCCTTTCCTTATTGACTCTTGCTATCTATACTTTAGCAGCCCTCCCTTCCTTCCTTCCTTCCTTCCTTCCTTCCTTCCTTCCTTCCTTCCTTCCTTCCTTCCTTCCTTTTCCCAAGAAAATTATAACATATCTCAACTTTTTAAACAAAACAACATTTAAAAAAATATTTAACAAATCTTGAGATATAGGCATTTCACCAGCACACATATATATTTAAAGCATACTGCACAAGAAGCAATCCATATTCGCACATTATGTTTTGGCCTGTTTATACCAAATTTGTCCTCTAGAGCTGTTCCTATTCCCAGCATTAGGTGTGGAAAGGCCATTGTTTTTGTTCTGCTCTTTTCTTGATTCTTCATTTTCATGACAGCCATGCTAAAGCCGATTGGGACAAACCTGAGCACCATCTTTCTATGAAATCTGGGATATTTTGCCTTTGGATGGAAACTTTGCTCCCTGGGCATTGTGAAAAGGTACTATCTGGAGAAGTAAAAATGCCAAGCTTGACTTGAAACTGACAAAATGAAATACAGGCGGTCCTCAACATTCATTTAGTGACCAGAGTTAAAATGGCACTGCAAAGAGCGACTTATGACCGTTTTTCACAATTGTGACCGTTGCGGTATCTCCATGATCATGGGATCAAAATTCAGGCACTTGGCAACTGTCTTTTATTTTTTATTTTATTTTTATTTTATGAGACTTATATACCGCTTTAAGTGCAAGCACTCTCTAAGCGGTGTACATCAGTAAGCAATTTATATATATATTTACATTGCCCCCAACAATCTGGGTCCTCATTTTACCTACCCCGGAAGGATGGAAGGCCGAGTCAACCTTGAGCCGGTGAGATTTGAACCGCTGACCTGCTGAACACAGTCAGCTAAAGTGGCCTGCAGTACTGCACTCTAACTGCTGTGCCACCTCGGCTCTTGCTTGTATTTCTAACAGTTTTTTTCTTGTATTTCTAACAGTTGCAGCGTCCTAGGGTCACGTTTTGTGACCGCTTGACAAGCAGAGTCAATGAGGAATCCAGTTTCACTCAACGACTGTTGTTTACCAACTTGACAACTGCAGTGATTTACTTAACAACCGTGACAAGAAAGGTCGCAAAATGGGGCAAAAAAACCCCCCTCACAACAACTGTCTCACTTAGCAACAGAAATTTCAGGCTCAATTGTGGTCGCACATCAAACTGTGATAATAAAGTCCTCCAGAGTGGATACAGAGACTTTCTTCTCCTGGGCAAATATATGCTGCGTAGATGGCTACGGTTGTGCATAAACTATGGCTGATGGGATATGGCGTCATGAAGGACACAATGGAAGCAGTTTTCCAGATTAGAGCAAATCCATAAAAGAGATTGTTTGCAGTTCAGGGTTGAAATGAGGGGTCCTTGGTGCTCTCTGAACTTGGCTGTTTCCCTGCAGGCATTTCATCGCCCAACTAGGTAACATCATCAGTGCACTGATTATCAGAGCAGGACCCTTCAGACTGGAGCAAAACACCCAGCCAGGATGCCCCTGCTTCCCTTATTCACATTTTTCAGGTGGAATGCATCGTCTTCCTTCAAACATTAACCAAGCAGCGTGGAATAATGGAATATGTTTAATTCATGTCAGATAGCATCCATCAGTCTCATGAGGTTACCTCGAAAAGGACAAAGACACCTTTCCGGCTGTCCTAGATAGCAGGAATGGAACTAACAGCTTTAAATTACAGGATGCTTGCTTTTAACTGAACATTAGGAGAGAAATATGCTGATGAGAAAAGTAATTTTAAAAAGGAACCATTTGGTTAAAAGAGCGTGCTTTTGTCTGGGATTGCCTGATCCAAGGGGGCTGAATTAAAGCTGTATTTTTCAAACTTGGCAACTTTAAGGTGTGTAATATTCCAACTCCCAGAATTCCTCAGCCAGCATGCTGAAGAAGATTCTACTAGGAGCATACTGGCTGGGGAATTCTGGGAGTTGAAGTCCACACATCTTAAAGTGGCCAACTTTGAAAGAAACCCAACAAGATGGTGCACAAAGTCCTCCCTATTTCTCCTTCTGTAAAACTGAAATCTTCCATACTTTCTCATTAACTGGGGACTGGACCAAACCACTTTTTTTCAGTATTAAAAACACATCCAAGCTCTATATTTTGGATTGCCTCTATTGCTGTAAAAATGCGATTGGAGAACTGCCTGTTGATAGCAAAATAGAGAGAACTCCAGGGAAGCTGGCCAAAACATAACATAGGAATATCCCTCATAAGCCTACCCTGTAGGAAAGAAATATATAATTTTGAAATATACAAAATGACCTGCGTGAACAGTTGATGAGTCCCCCCCCCCCCGTATCATTTTAACAACGAGTCCAGTCTTCTGTTATCCTCTCTCTTTGTTAGTGAGCCACCATTCTGTATCATGGCACAACAGTCATTTCAATTGTTGTAATTGTACTGGACGCCATTTGGCATCTTGGGTAATCTAACAATGCTTCCACAAGATCAATATGCTTCTACAGCAGGGGTAGGCAACCTTGGCTCTTTTATGACTCATGGACTTCAACTCCCAGAATTCCCGAGCCAGCCATGCTGAGGGGAAAGAGAGAAGTTTCCAAGCTGAGCCATGCTGGCTCAGGAATTCTGGGAGTTGAAGTCCATGAGTAATAAAACGGCCTAGGCCTAGGCCAGAGGTAGGCAACCTTGGCTCTTTTATGACTCGTGGACTTCAACTCCCAGAATTCCTGAGCCAGCCATGCTGAGGGGAAAGAGAGAAGTTTCCAAGCTGAGCCATGCTGGCTCAGGAATTCTGGGAGTTGAAGTCCACAAGTCATAAAAGAGCCAAGGTTGCCAACCCGTTCTAGACAGGTGCCATGCCTTGGAAGCAGCATGCTTCAAGTCCCATCAAACTTTGCCAGCGTAGCCAGGATCTGTGGAATTTTTTTTTCTTCAAAATGGACAGTTCCTAGGGACACAAGCCAAGTCCTTAATATCCTCTTTGAGTTTTTTTTCTTGCAAAATTACCATAAGGATTTAAAACGTAGGCAAATAAACATTGATTTCAAGCCTCTGAAATTTTCAGTCAAAGATATGTGAAATATACATCTATCTATCTATCTATCTATCTATCTATCTATCTATCTATCTATCTATCTTCTATCTATCTATCTATCTATCTATCTATCTAATTATCTGTCTACCTACTTACCTACCTACTTACCTACCTACCTACCTTTTTCTTTCTTTCTTTCTTTCTTTCTTTCTTTCTTTCTTTCTTTCTTTCTTTCTTTCTTTCTTTCTTTCTTTCTTTCTTCTATCTCTATCCATCCTTTTGTCTTTAGGCAAAACATAATAGAATATACTTGCTGAAATATTAAAAGCAGGCCACATAAAAGGATGGAGATTATATATATATATATATATTATATGTTATATATTATAATATAATACAATATAATATATATACAGTATATAATATTCTGCACACAGAAGCATGCGTCTAGTCAAGTGATTTGGATTCTTTTCTGTGGCAAGCATCACATCTAATACAATCTAAAAAATGGGTAGCACTGAAAAGAAAGACAAATTGATTATAAAATATCAAAATAATTTCAACGGAAGGCTGGAGAACAACGGACACTGCATTGCCAATATCAGTGTTTCTCAAGAATACGTAAGACATTTCCATGCATTTTTAAAAATATTTTCATAGTTTTCTTTCTTTGCTCATCACACAAAGCCATTCAATGACATAGACAAAATAATGTTGGAATTTTAGTACCCAGCATGCTTTGGGAGGTTAGAGCATTTGATATATATATATATATATATATATATATATATATATATATATATATATATATATATATATATATATATATATATAGTTATATATAAATGTTCCTCATTTCAAGAGGTCTTTTTTTTTAAAAAAAAAAAGCAAGAAAAAAGTGCACATTACATCCAAATGCTTAAGAAGAATTAATTAATACACAGATACACAATACAGAATACAATAGAACATGCTGTCTTAAATGATTAATTCAGAAGATCCAGAATAAGGCACAGTCGACTCGTGAGGCAGTGTGTGTGTGTGTGTGTGTGTGTGTGTGTGTGCGCAAAATTCCAAAAAACCATGGCAAAAATCATGGTCTAGGCTGGAGGGAGCAGCACTTTTTTAAAAATTTGAAAACGCAGGGATCATTTAAATTTGAATATCTATCAAGTCAAAGATGGAATCGAAGTTTGCTGTCGCTAGCAATCCATTTCAGGGAGGGGGACTCATACGAATATGGACTAGCCCCTTGGAATAAAGGGATACTTCTAAACAGTTGGAAAAGGAAAAATATATATGTATGCCTTTTTGGGGTGTCTTTGGCCAATTTGAGTTTAGGCTTGGCAGCCTCACAGAGGCCAGCTTTATTATTAGGGTTTTTGTTTTCTCCCAAAAAATTGTGTTAGATTAAAAACAGCATCCTGAATGCCAGACAGCAAAACGACATGTTCACAAAGTTATTTAAAAAATAAAAAATCTGAATGCCACTGAAAGGAGGGCACAACAAGCGAGTGGTCTGTTCTCAGATGGTTAAGAGAAGCAACTGTCCCAGAAAGAAACAGAGTTGGGGGGGGAGAAATATGGGGAAATGGGGCTGTGAGCGTGGAAGTTTTGCCTAGGACTGTCACACATCTGATCTTCTCCGAGAGAACACCGGCTTTACATTCTCAGCCATATGCACAAAAGGAAACAATGAAAGGGCATATGATACAGTACCTCCATAGTCTGGGACTGGTGCATGGCTTTGATTGCATTCTGTGCCATTGCCCTTGTCGAAAACGTGACAAACGCACAGCCTGTGGGAACAGGGGGCAGGGAGCAGGAAAGACAAAAAAAGAAAGAAAAAAAAAGGAAAGAAAAAAAGAAAGAAAAACAGAAAAGAAAAGAAAAGAACAACAAAGACAAAAAAGGATTGGACGCTTGTTAAACCAACACAGTCTACGAGAACGGCCACAAGACGACACTGTTCTCTGTAGTACATAAATTAAAAAAGAAAAAAAAAAAGAAAAAAGAAAAAAACAAAAAAGTGAAAACAAAAAAAAAAAAAACCAAAAAAACAACCCAATTGATTCCCTAATTGATTTGCTTCAGCAGAGCTGAGTTGATCATTCGGGAGGGAGAAGGAAAGGAAAATTGGGGGAGGGGAGGGAGGGGAGAGGGAAGGCTGAGACTCAGTGGGAAAATGACAAGATGGCTATTTTCCTCCTCCTTCAGAAGCAGCCTTTCTCCATCTTTAAGACAGACGGACTTCAACTCCCAGAATTCCTCAGCCAGCATGCTGGTTGGGGGAATTCTGGGAGCCCAAGTCCACTCGTCTGAAAGCTGCCAGAATTGAGAAACGCTGCTCTAAAGAACAGGATTGGAAATAGGCAAGACTGCTAATAGGTTTTCATTTCCATTTAACAGGGTCCCTCAAAGATCCTCATATCTCACGTCTAAGCATTCAAACTTGTCTGTTTAAAAGCACAGTCAAAATGTCCACTTGCTTCATTAGCAAACACACCCATTAGTGATTGAATTAAACCAAGTTAAGTCTTTTTTTTTTTTGGTCAGTGACATAAGCAATACCTACAATAGAAATAAGACTGGAAGTCAAGCCTATGCTTAGAGCAGGGATAGGCAACCTCGGCTCTTTTATGACTCATGGACTTCAACTCCCAGAATTCCTGAGTCAGCTATGCTAGGCTGACTCAGGAATTCTGGGAGTTGAAGTCCATGAGTCATAAAAGAGCCGAGGTTCCCAACCCTGGCTTAGAGCAGTGGTTCTCAACCTTTCTAATGCTGCGACCCCATAATACAGTTCCCCATGTTGTGGTGACCCCCAACCACTTATACATCACCGGGTGCCAGGGGCGTGGCCAAAGAAAAGGGGAAAAAAAATGGCGGACAGCCTTGTTTGGCGACCCCCGTGAAATGGTCGTTCGACCCCAAATGGGGTCCCGACCCACAGGTTGAGAACCACTGACTTAGAGGAACCTGGGCAACCCTGATGGGTCCTAAAATTGACTTTAGAGGGTTCTGAATAAACTCAGCTAACCGAACACATGAGCGACTTGTTCTGTTTCACGGCATAATGTGAGAATAAGGCTTTGTTCCTCCACCAAAGTGTGTCAAATCTGTGAAGCAACCATGATTCAGAGATCTTGGGTTCCCACAGAGGGGGTTAAAACCTTCTAAATCAGGGTTTTTCCAACCTTGGCAACTTTAAGACACATGGAGTTCAACTTCCAGAATTCTCCAGCCAGCGTAGCTGGCTGGGGAATTCTGGGACTTGAAGTCTACATGACTTAAAGAATGTTACCAAGGTTGGAAAACCCTGTCTTAAGTGGTAGGTTGGTGATGCAATTCAAGCCCTGCAATTAAACCCACCATCTTGAAGACTGACGCCTCCTTCCTCTCTGGGTGCCGCTATTTGAAAGCCAAAGATCCATGATTCAGGGTCTTTATGTTCAGGTTTATGCTTCTGGTTCTGCCTTCAGGGCTCATGTTTAGGCAAAGAGACCTGCGTTCTCCACCTAAATCAATGACACCAATTAGGAAGAAGACGAGGTCTTCTTAAGGTTCTGCAGACTCTTCCTAACTCCAGATTTTAGGTGAGGTCGTGGGAAAGGGCAACATTTAGGAAGAGAAGGCTTAAGGTTGGGGACTTAATGTACTCCTTATTTTAATGGAAGGTGACGTTGGAACAGTTTGATAGGAGAAGGTTGGGCAGTCCTGATGCCAGACACTTCATATTTAGAACTCTTAAAGCTCTATGATAAGATCTGGAGAGGAGACCAGATCAATGTCATCCTTTCTCGGAAACAATATTCTAAAAACCACCTTTCCTTGGGGCCGTGGCATCTTTGGGAACTAGTTAGTAACTCTTATAGTCATTCCATCCATTGGTGTCTTCTGCCAATGGATGACCACCTCCATCATTTTAGGATCTCACTAGGAGAATATTTACTCATCTCTTTTTGGGGAAACGTCAGGAGCTTCTGCGGAAATAGTCTCACGTCAACATTTTATGCATCTAGGCACCTTATTGATTGTGTGCATGGTCATAAAGGTTCCCTTTGATCTGCAGAGCATATGCTAAATTAGATCTTCTGTGCAATCAAATAATCACCGCAAGGATTCTCTACCAATTGCAGCTCTTAGCTGACTTGGGCTGAGCTCAAAAAAGCAAAGCAGAGGTGTATCTAGTTAGTAGTTTAAAGAAGAGGCCATCCGCCTCTCTCCCAAGGGAACATGAAGATTGTAGGCTAGACAGGGACATCTCTTAGTAAGAATGCAATGGCAAAGCAAAGGAAAATTACATGGACGTGCCCATGTTATCAAGAGGGTTTAAGTGTAGCGATGATGCCTTTTATTCTTCTTTAGGCTAAGCATCACTTTCACAACTGATTCTCCGCTGGCACCCTAGTTGGGTAGGAGGGAAGACTAATGTGAGCCCAACCCATATCAATCTTTTCCCATGGAGGGAGACCCAGACGACACAGTATTGAATAACTGGAGGTTGTATAAATATTTATAGAAGTATATACCGAGAAGGTTAGATAAATAGAAGTATTAATGTAAGAGAAAATTAATCTTATTGTATATAATACAGATAGGGAAATTTGGAGAGAGGAGTTGCTCGGACATTACCCCTGAATTGTATCTGAAGAGGGATGAGAGGGAAGAAAGGAGAGGAGAGAGAAAAGAATAAAGGAGGGGAGAAGGAAGTAGGAAGGTTGGAGGAGAAGAGGAGAAGTGGGGAGGTGAAGGAAAGAGAAGAGGAAGAAGAGGGAAGTAGGGAAGAGAAGAAAGGGAGAAAGAAGGTAGAGAAGAAGGAATCTGGATACAGTGAAAGGGGAAATGGGCGAGCAACACCAAAAGTCATGTGTATATATTTATTTCATTTTATCAAAAGTATTTTTATATATGAATGTAAAAAGAATGTATGTTAACATCTGATAAATATCACGGTATATGTATGGAGGAGAGTTTGGGAAAATAAAAAATTATTGAAAAAAATCTTTTCCCATGGATTGGCTTGGTGGGAGGATACAAAAGTGAACATGCATTTATTTCCGGTACTAACTCTGGTGGGTTTAATTTGATGTTGGTTATTTTGGTTTATTATGTCATTTCCAGAGATGGGCAGTTTAAGGAAGCATGAGAGGTGGACTCTGCCGATACAGGTAGTCCTCAACTTACAGCAGTTTGTTTAGTGACTCCTTGAAGTTACAACGGCATTGAAAAAAGTGATTTGTGACCGTTTTTCACATGACCACCGCAGCACGCCCCATGGTCACATGATCAAAATTCAGTTGCTTGGCAACTGACTCATTATTTATGACGGCTGCAGCTTCCTGGGGTCACGTGATCCCCTTTTGCGACCTTCTGGCAAGCAAAGTCAATGGGGAAGCCAGATTCACTTAAAACAGCCTTGTTACTCACTTAACAACTGCAGTGATTCACTTAAGCACTGTGGCAAGAAAGGTCGCAAAATGGGGCAAAGCTCACTTAACAAATGTCTCACCTAACAGCAGAAAATTTGGGCTCAATTGTGGTCGTAAGTCGAGGATCACCTGTATTGGCGGTCCTCCTCGGTGTGAGAGTTGGAAATGGGAATTCGCGAGGCCAAAATATACCAGCGCAGGTTGCAGAAGGACAAACGGCATGGAACAATGGAATATTTTAGAAACAGGAAGATACTGGCCTCTAAAAGACCTTCCAAGTATCTATAAGAACAATAGTGTGTGTTTGAAGGAGCATATCATTTAACTAAGGAGAAACTTCCTGACAGTGAGAACAATTAATCAGTGGAACAGCCTGCCTCCAGCAGCGGTGAATGCTCCAACTCTGGAAGTTTTTAAGAAGAGACTGGACAGCCATTTGTCCGAAATGGTGTAGGGTTTCCTGCCTGAGCAGGGGGTTGGACCAGAAGACCTCCAAGGTTTCTTCCAACTCTATTATTATTATTATTATTATTATTATTATTATTATTATTATTATTATTATCATCATCATCATCATCATCATCATCATCATCATCATCATCATCATTATTCATTAGACATGAACCTCAGTCAACTGAATATTCCAATTGATTGGTACTGTTGGTTGACACGGGTTGCTGCCAGCATCCTAGGTATCAACTAGGTACCTCATTATTATTATTATTATTATTATTATTATTATTATTATTATTATTATTATTATTATTATTATTATTATGGATCATCGCACAGTCAGCCAGATGTTCAGACTGGATTTGGCATTTTGTCTACCTATTGAGTCCTTACGCAGGACCTGGGATAGGCAGATGTGGATGTTTGATGGTATTACAGATATCGTTGCAGGATGGAAGCAGTTCCTAGTAAGGCCGCCTTTTGCAATTGACTAATAGCGAATTTGTCAATGCCAATGGTGTTCAAGTGGTGCTCCAGTTGTTTTGGGATTGCACCCAAAGAGCAATTATTATTATTATTATTATTATTATTATTGATCATCGCATAGTCAGCCAGATGTCCAGACTGGATTTGGCATTTTTGTCTACCTATCGAGTCCTTACCAAGGACCTGGGATAGGCAGATGTGGATGTTCGATGGTATTACAGATATCATCGCAGGATGGAAGCAGTTCCTAGTAAGGCTGCCTTTTGCAATTGACTAATGGCGAATTTGTCAATGCCAGAGGTGTTCAAGTGGTCCTCCAGTTGTTTTGGGATTGCACCCAAGGTACCTATTATATTGGTATTACCCTGGCTGCTGCTGCTATTATTGTTGTTGTTGTTGTTGTTGTTCAACTATGCTAGAAAAAGTAGTGGTTGAGGTCTCATTTAGTGCCTTCTATCCGCATTGGATTCGTCATCCTCAATCCGCATGGTCAATGAACAGGAATTTGCTGGGGATTTGACTTAAAAAATGTAGGAAAGTCCTACTTTATCTGACAGAGTTTCATGGGAAGCGAGTGAGTTTGTACCATTTATACCAAATTTGGTGGGATTTAATAATGGTTTTAACATTTCTTTTTTTAAAAAAATAAAAATGAAATAAATACCCTTTGAAATTGACATTTCCCAGGGTGCCTTGTAAGAAAAGGCTGTGAAATACTTGCAAATTCAAGCTGATTTCATAGCAGTATTGTGACAAGGTGAAAGCAAGAAATCTGGCATGCTGAAAAGACCTTGATTTCTAAGCCTTTTAGCCTAGTTCAGGGATAGGCAACCTTGGCTCTTTTATGACTCTTGGACTTCAACTCCCAGAATTCCTGAGCCAGCATGGCTCATCTTGGAAACCTCTTCCTTTCCCCTCAGCATGGCTGGCTCAGGAATTCTGGGAGTTGAAGTCCACGAGTCATCAAAGAGCCAAGGTTGCCTACCCCTGGCCTAGTTAGTATTTGAAATCTGGGCTTCCGAACTAAAATTAAGAAATGAAATCACAGCACAGTTCCTTCAATTTCCTCCACAACCGACGTTGATGGTGACTGTTAACAATTTTAAAAGGCTTCTAAACCAGTGGTTCTCAACCTGTGGGTCGGGACCCCATTTGGGGTCGAACAACCATTTCAGGGGGGTCGCCAAACAACGCAACCCGCCATTTTTTCCCCCTTTTCCTTAGCTGTGCTACACCCTTTTATTCTATTGGCTTTTGAAAGCCAATAGAATAGACTCTCTTGAATAGAGTCTAATTCTATTGGCTTTCAAAAGCCAATAGGAATTGTCCAGGCTGTCTCTGCCCTGCTGAGCCCGCCCAAAGTCCCATTCTGCAAACGGTGCTGCACCAGTTGAGTAGTCCTCGACTTACGACTGGTTGAGTAGTCCTCGACTTACGACCGGTTGGGGGTCGCGGTATTAAAAAGGTTGAGAACCACTGTTCTAAACGAAGCGAGCTAAATGCAGAGAGATTGAAGCCCGGTATCATTACAGAACTGAGCAAAAAATTTAAAGCAAGCTCAGGGTCGTCTCTCTCTCTCTCTCTCTCTCTCTCTCTCTCTCTCTCTCTCTCTCTCTCTCTTTAAATCTGTATCATTGCCCCTGGGATCAGTGAGCAAAATGAAGAATCCATTTTACAGTCCAGCTATTTTGGGGAAATCAATTTGAGCGCTGACAACAACACTTGCTTCCTTTTGGCCTTTGTCTATGTATACCTGGCAAGAATACCAAGTTAAAAAAAAAATAATTCAATAAGATTTTAATTGAACAAGAGGCAGTCCAGGCAATAATAACTGAAGTGTTTTGCAAACCATGTTTTTGCAAATCAGCTTCAACAGCTATGCTTTTTTTTCCATAAAGAGGAATGAATCCTCTTTATGTTCCCCTTATTTGAAGGGCAGAACCAGAAGTTTATCATTTAGTATGTATTTATTTAGCAATAAGCAGGATTATTGTTGGTACAGGGTAGCGTATCTCAATTTTGGCAACTTTTAAGATGTGTGGGTTTCAACTCCCAGAATGCCCCTGCTGCCCCAGGATGGCTAGGGAATTCTGGGAGTTGAAGTCCACAGGTCTTAAAAGTCGTCAAGATTGAGGAAAAACTAACGCAGATTGAGAACCAGGCTCAACCATTTCAGCCTGGTATGCCTGATGAGTCTAATCTTTACCTCATCATTTCTTGATTAGGTTATTTCTCATTCAGGGTTGGCAGTGCCATTTCAATTGGCATTTCTCATTCTGATTAAGGGGTGCTCCATTTCTGTCAGCAGAAAGGAAGGCATTTGTCTAAAGCTATCAAAGTGGAAAAAAAGTTGGGATTTAAAAAAAACTGGTGTGGCGGAGTGCATTCTTAAAACTAAACTACAGAAAGGAGTGTCAGGCAGTCAATGACACATCCTATGTTATTCATATTATGAAGGTATCTGTAGGACACGGATTGTGCCCTATGTGAAGATGTTTGTTAAACAGGAAGGTTGAATTTTATGTTTATTATCTCCAATCAACGCACAGTTTACACAAACTGTTATGTACCTCACACACGGCTTGCCGGTTAGCATGATTTAAGGGGACCAATTTTTGGCAAAGGTTTGTGTCTACTTTAACTTGCATTTTAAGTTCTAGGGCAATGGTTCTCAACCTGGGGTGCACCAACCCCGGGGTGTGCGCGTGTGCAATGTTGTCCTGGGGGTTCTGTAAAGCTTGAAGAAATGTTATGATTTAATTCTTAAGTCTTGGGGGTCCATGGCCATGATCTGTGGCCACAAAAGGTGTTTAAAGGGTTCCATGGTGAAGAAAAGGTTGAGAACCACTATTCTAGGGCAGGACTAGGCAACCTTGGCTCTTTTATGACTCGTGGACTTCAACTCCCAGAATTCCTGAGCCAGCATGGCTCAGGAATTCTGGGAGTTGAAGTCCACGAGTCATAAAAGAGCCAAGGTTGCCTAGCCCTGTTCTAGGGTATATGTCAAGTTGTTTTATTCGGTCTCTTTCTCTCTCTCTCTCTCTTTTTAATATTCTGCATGTGATCTTTGGATTAAAGTAAATTAAGAGGAGGGATTTTCTTTTTAAAAAACTGATAGTAGAAAGCAGGAGATTTTTGAGACTGGCTTCTATTTTGTAAAGGCAATTTGTTCTTCCTATCTGCCTCAGATGAAGAAGTTAACTATGTCGGCCTAAACTCAAATTCATACCCCATTAGTTCATTAAACTTCTATCAGCGCATTTTGCCTCAGCTAGAGCTTTGTAATATTTCACAGAGACATCAATATGCTTATAAAACTTCATGTTGTGACTTGGCACTATTATCAATTTTGAAAACCCAAATTGTTTACCAAGGGAGGCTGATGGTTCACGTGCTTCCAACAGCCCCGATGGAGCTGCTGATGACTGAATAATGCAAGACACCTGACAGGTTTCTCCTGTCATCAAATTCCACACATTTAAACATTACTCAAAGCAGAACAACAACTTTATATAATTTATGCTAGACAAATAGGTGCATGAGTAAAATGGTAAATGGTCTACAGTACCTCGGCTAGATTCCATATTGAAGCTGTGCACTAAAATTAAAGAGGTCCAAATTTACCATCAGTCTCAACATAATCTCTCTTTAAAACATTACTCATTTATAAAGCAGAGAAACAAGGGTTACCAATAGTTCATTCTCATATCTGCGTTAAGCTGGACATTCTCATCTTGTACAAATAAATGCTTGGGGGTTATTGATATCTTTCACCCTCTTTTACTCTACCATCCCTTCTCCACTTAATCCCATTCAAATGGATTGTTGCTGGTTTTTTGACATTGGCTTTCCTTCTTCCTTAGGGCATCTATAACCCCACTTTGAAACTTTCTGAAGGACAAGTAAACTTCCTGTTCCAAATGCTATAAGTCAAGTGTTTCTCAACCTTAGCAACTTTCAGATGGGACTTCAACTCCCAGAATTCCCCAGCCAGCCACCCGTCTTAAAGTTGCTAAGGTTGAGAAACATTGATGTAGGCCAGTGTTTCTCAACCTTGACAATTTTAAGGCATGTGGACTTCAACTCCCAGAATTCCACAGCCAGCATTGCTGGCTGTGGAATTCTGGGAGTTGAAGTCCACATGTCTTAAAAATGTCAAGGTTGAGAAACACTGTTGTAGGCAATACAGGAATAATTAATATGGGACATTGCATACATATATGGAACAAGTGGCCCGTTTGAAAGCAGTGTGTGTGTGTGTGTTTGTGTGTGCATGTCTGTGTTAGTGTCTGTGTATGAGAGAGACAGAGAGAGAGAGAGAGCAAAATGGGGTCATGTGGTTACAATTAGCATTTTCCCCAGGAAAAGCTTTCAGCAGAGGAATTCCAAATGTGGATATAATTTAGCAGATAAGGAAGTTAATTAATTTCAGCTAATGTCAAGGGAATAATTAACCACTGATACCCAGATCACAATATGTCTAAGGTTCAGGATTTATGCACCGATAGCCATATGGAAGACATGTGCATTTCGGCTGATGTGCTAATTTCCTACCCAGTGTCCATAAATGGACATATGGCAGAAATTGCTTTCATTCTGTAATGAAGAGACCTACTCTCAGCAGATACTCCTGGTTAAAAAGTATACGGCTTCCACATACAGGGAGTCCTCGACTTATGACAGTTCATTTAATGACCGTTTGAAGTTACAGTGGCAAGTCCCCAAAAAAGGGACTTAACGATCATTTTTCACACCTAGAACTGTTGCAGCACAACATGACATGATCAAAATTCAGAGGCTTGGCAACTGACTCCTATTTATGACAGTCGCAGTGTCCTGGGATGATGCGATCCCTTTTTGCGACTTTTTGACAACAAAGTCAATAGGGCAGGGGTAGGCAACCTCGGCTCTTTTATGACTCGTGGACTTCAACTCCCAGAATTCCTGAGCCAGCATGGGGGAACTATGGCCCCCTCATGACTTGTGGACTTCAACTCCCAGAATTCCTGAGCCAGCATGGCTCAGCTTGGAAACCTCTCCCTTTCCCCTCAGCATGGCTGGCTCAGGAATTCTGGGAGTTGAAGTCCACCAGTCATAAAAGAGCCCAGGTTGCCCACCCCTGCAATAGGGATAGTAACAATAGTAACAACTGTGTTACTCATTTAACAGCTGCAGTGATTCACTTAACAACTGTGCAAGAAAGGTCGTAAAACGGGGCAAAATTCCCTTAACAACTGTCTCACTTAGCAACATAAAGTTTGGGGGTCAAGTGTGGTCGTACATCAACGACTACCTGTACATATTCATCTATTTTAGGAATATGTTGATACCTACTTGTGTCCATAATCTACCATCAATAATAGCAACCAAGAAAATGGATTAAGGTGAGGAAATTTTACAGGTATGTTCTAAATAAACGTTGTAGGAAGGGAATAGGAGAACTTGAAATGGGTCTGTTATTCCCCCGGTGAAAAATCTACTTTTCTGTACTTTTTCCTTTGAAGTTCTTAAGGGGGAATTAATTGCGCACTGCAATTTGGCCATCACTCAGCACGGACATAAAGCTGTGAGCAGTGTGCAGAATGAATCAATAAAGAACATTTTAAGCATTTACCACAATTTCAACCCGGTGCCAAGAGACGCTAAGCTTAGCAGATCTCACAAGAGTGAAAGAATGAAGCATCCTTCTGTATCTATTAAGTTAAACCTAATTATTGCCATCCTTCATCAGCCTCATGAAAACCTGGGACAATATGTAGGGTAGACAAAACCTTGCAATTGTATAATTGAATTCCAGTAGGAAAGACTATGTTTTGAGGAACTGGAGTAGCAGATCATCTGGATTTCTTAGCTGGTCACTGTAGGACTAAATAGTTGAGTTTCGAAATGATTCAGAAGAATCATTTGGTTGGACTAGATAACTCCAAGGTCCCTTCCAAAATTATTATTATTATTATTATTGTTGTTGTTGTTGTTAATACTTTGGACTTTAAATTCATTAAAGTAAGCAGATTCCGTTATAAGATACTTCCCCATGAAAGTTCAGAAAAAACTTCTGAAACATTTTGAAGCTTGCTCAGCCTTGTTATGCAGATCTTGGACAATTCCAATAAGCTGTTCTGATATTCTCAGTGTAAAAACAAGATTGTTGATATATAAAGGAGAATATTTGTAGCTCAGGGTTGAAATAAGAGGTCTTTGGTACTCTTTGATCTTGATTGTTTTCTTGCAGACTTTATAATTACCAAACTAGGTAGCATCATGAGTACTGATGATGTTACCTAGTTTTGGTAATGAAAGGTCTGTAAGAAAATAGCTCAGAGACCACCAAAACCCCCTCAAAATTGACTATGTAGAGCAAGGGGTCTTCAAACTTGGCCCTTTTATGACTTGTGGACTTCAACTCCCTGAATTCCTCAGCCAGGCCTAGCTGAGGAATTCTGGGAGTTGAAGTCCACAAATCATAAAAAGGCCACGTTTGAAGACCCCTGATGTAGAGTGTTTTAGATTTGGCAAGAAACTAAGACTTAGGAATAGAAAGAAGTGAAAGAAAAATATATAGGAGCTAAGTAATGTGGGTGATCAAGAACTAGTTAGATGTGTAGAGGCAAACAACAGGATTTAGATCTTTGCTTCTAATTTCTGTGTTGTTATTAAGAGCTACCTAACCCACAATTCTGAAAATGATTCTGAAGAAATGTTTTGGCACTGTGATGAATTGAACACCTCCCTCAGGGCATTATGGGGAAAGAATGTAAAAAAAAAAATTCAAGATGGCGATGTATTTGATGTTCTGCCCTTTTGGTGCAAGGCATGGCTATAGCTGTGATATTGATCGAATCTCTACCCCTGCCAATGCCTTGGGGGCTATTCATTCATGCACCACAATGTGTTTTTTTTCAGAGTTTTGTATTCAATCTGAAAAATGCTGCAATGGCTTTCAGCCATTCAGTCTGCCCCCCCCCCTCCAGACTGATGCAATCTGAAAAAAAAAGTTGAGACTGCTTAAATGAACTGCAGAGAAGCACCGTATTCATGCAAGATCCAAAGGATTTCTTCCAAATCAGTTTGAAGCATGCATAATATTAAGATTGGATTAATCTGGTGGTGGTTAAAAAAAATTGGATGGTTCAGTGATAAAAATGGAGTCCAAATGGGACTGCTGTTATTAAACATTGAGAGAAACAATGGCAATTTTAACACTTCTGCCCAGAGGACACTCATTGATGGACAGTATATATGTGTGTGTATGTGTATGTATGTATGTGTGTGTGTGTGTGTGTGTGTGTGTGTGTGTGTGTGTGTATATATACACACACACACACACACACGTGTGTGTGTGTCTATATATTAGATTTTTGCTGACAAAGAATTAAAGGGAGACTACTATAGCTATTTCGAGCTACTTAGCTCTCATCAGCTAGCTAGCCATACCCTTCTGAGATTCGAACCTGGGCCACTTGCATGTTAGGCAGCTGTATTAACATCTAGGCCAGAAGGGTATGGCTAGCTGAGGAGAGCTAAATAGCTTGAAATAGCTATACTAGTCTCCCTGTAATTCTTTGTCAGCAAAAATCTAAAATTTAACACATGCCTCAAAGTGGCATCTGAGTGGGCAATTTCCAGGCTGTACATTTATATATATTCATTCTAGATCAGCCTTCCCCAACATGATGCTTGGATGCATTTGGTGAAGGACACTGGCTTTAAAAAAATATCTGCAGAATGTGACAGATGGCACTGATAGGTTTGTGATACCTTTTTTTTCTTTTTACGATCCTGTAATCCCGTCATTTGGGGTGGAATTGGGGCAACTGAATGGAGCTGAGCGTTTACTGGCCACACACCCTTCCTGATGCCTATGAGTATTCACAGCAGATATTGTCTCTTTGTAGAGAAACATCTGTCCCTGCCTAAGATTGAACTCTTAATCTACCAAGTGGGAGGAGAGCGTCTTCACCTCTAGGCCGCCATGCTGCTCAGGCTTGTGATGCATATAATTACAAAACATCACAGCTGGAGCTTTGCTTTGTAAACTCAAAAAGACAGTCTGGAAATGAAAACTGGAAATGAAAATAATTTGCCAAATGGGAAGTACCTAAATGTTGTGAGACTTTCTATCTGGACCTCTCGACAGCCAGAGTGATAAAGCTAATCCTGCATCAACATGCTTCTCAAATATCAGAAATTTTAGTTTTGGGTTTTGTTTTTTTTTGTATTTTCCATACTCCCCCCCCCCCCTTAAAACTGCCTCCTAACCTTCCAATACAGATAAGTGATTGACAGGAAAAGGTTTCTCAAGGCAATTTCCTCTTACAGACCAGATCAGAAAAAAATATACAGGGACTGTCAGCGAACAGATTTAAGAATGCGTCTATTTCACTGTTATCTATTCAATTGTTATCTCAATTGAAATGCTATCTTAACTTAGATTCCCTGTTATCTTCAGCAGTACATGAGAAGTTAATACCTGAAAACTATTATTTCATGCTGTGTACTTAGGAATGTATAACTTTGTAAAGGCCAGCATCTCTGTTAAGAGGCTGGTAAATAATGATAGCCAAATCAGAAGTAACTCTGATGGCATGATTAACATCC